CATATACTACAACCAACAGAGGTTTGTGAATTACACCAGGGATGCCCTTCAAGGAATCGTTGACCAGTTAGCCCCTACATTCTACATGACATTCCAGAATAGGATGGCTCTGGACATGATTTTAGTGGAAAAAGGAGGTGTCTGTAAAATGATAGAAGGAACCGGAACATGTTGTACATATATTCCTGACAATACTGGCCCGAATGGTAAGGTTACTCTGTCTATAAAGAAATTGGAAGATCTGTCAGTTGAGTTGAAAAATAATTCAGGGATCACAGACCCGTGGGATCAATATTTCAGTTGGATGAGTGGGTGGCAAAAGATACTTGTCCAAATAGGGGTAACTGTATTAATAATTCTGATTCTCCTGGTCCTGGTTGTATGCTGTGTTATACCATGTGTGAGGAAATTGATGAGCAAATCTGTAGACAACAGAACATCTACCTTCCTGAACCAGGAGCAAGAGGATCCCCACATGATAGATGAAGAAAAACCTTATACCCCATTACGGTCCCTCCCCGCCAACAGTAATCTCACAATTTTGTAGGGATAGCATCTGACTTCCTTATGTACAAAGTCTGTGGCAAGGGGGGTGATGAAATAGTCATCACCTGTCTAACGTACAGCATAAAAGAGTTCCAAGGTACATAAGGACAGATGAGCTAGGCTTTATAGGGACAGAGTAAAAATAGTCATTTTAAGGGGAGACTGTGATGGATTTGGTAAAATGCCTATTTCGTTTCCTATTGAAATATATATATATACGCTATTTCTATAAGTTTTATAAATATTTACTTTTATACTTTAATACATATGTTGTGTGGATATTTTCTGCCTGCTGGGCTTTGTGGTACTGTAAGAAATCCTTGCTTAAGAAATGTCTGCTCACACACACAGACCCCCTCCCCACCGTGTGATTTGGGAAACAAAGGAATGTTTTTCTTCTCTATAAGATAAGACTGAAGAAGATCACACCTATACCATGACGGAGATTGTTTTCGTGTGGAAATGACCAATCAAAGACTAATATAATGCTTATGCTGTTGTCACATGACTCTTGCATCATTCTGCATATATAAGTTCACTTTCTCATTATAATAAACTAGAAGTATTCATAGACTGAACTTGTGTGTCAGCGTGAGTCCCTTCCAATGTGCGCACATTTCAAAGCTAGCGTCATAAATTTTGGACAGGAACAGATAAGCAGTGGACGATTTCAGTCCGTGACTAAAGCAGTGGTACCATGGTGTGGTGGATCCATCTTGCCTTGTATCAATGGTTCAGGTTGGTGATGGTGGTGCCATGGTGTGGTGGATCCATCCTGCCTTGTATCAGTGGTTCAGACTGGTGGTGGTGGTGCCATGGTGTGGTGGATCCATCCTGCCTTGTATCTGTGGTTCAGGCTGGTGGTGGTGGTGCCATGGTGTGCTGGATCTATCCTGCCTTGTATCAATGGTTCATTCTGGTGGTGGTGGTACCATGGTGTGGTGGATCCACATGACATCTTGCCTTGTATCAATGGTTCAGGTTGGTGATGGTGGTGCCATGGTGTGGTGGATCCATACTGCCTTGTATCAATGGTTCAGGCTGGTGGTGGTGTCATGGTGTGGTGGATCCATCCTGCCTTGTATCAATGGTTCAGGCTGGTGGTGGTGGTGTCATGGTGTGATGGATCCATCCTGCCTTGTATCAATGGTTCAGGCTGGTGGTGGTGGTGTCATGGTGTGGTGGATCCATCCTGCCTTGTATCAATGGTTCAGGCTGGTGGTGGTGGTGGCCATGGTGTGGTGAATCTATCCTGCCTTGTATCAATGGTTCAGGCTGGTGGTGGGGGTGTAATGGTGTGGTGGATCCATCCTGCCTTGTATCAATGGTTCAGGCTGGTGGTGTCATGGTGTGGTGGATCCATCCTGCCTTGTATCAATGGTTCAGGCTGGTGGTGTTATGGTGTGCAGAATATTTTCTTGGCACTAGCAAGGTGTACCTAACAAAGTGGCCGGTGAGTGTAGATCTCTACAATAATTTCCCTGCATTCTAATTTTTTCCTTTATTTTGTGACTCTTCTAAATAAACTTTTCACTGTAAACAAGTCTGTTAATGTTGTTGTTTCCCTTATTAATGCTAATTAGACTTGAAGATAAAATAGTCACCTGGCAATTTTAATAACACCTGAGGTAAGGTTGGCACTATTCTCAGAAGATCAGTCCTCAAGGACATGCACCCTTATAAAAAAAAGGACCTGTCAAAAATGAGCACAAGCCATAGATGTGACATTGAAGAGCTGAGATCCTAGCACACCAGGGCAGCTAAGGATAACACAACATAAGTGCAATTCATTGTTGTTCCTTTGCTATTTTTAAAGGTAATTGTAGCTCTGTAAGCGCACTTACAACAACACATAGGGGGTCATTTACTAAAACTGAAAAGTGCAAAATCCGGGGCAGCCGTGTGATCCAGAAATATTGAGGGGGGGGTTACATTTATGTGTATGACACTTTTTTGGATGTGGCTACACAGTTTTCACGTGTAGGGTGGAGTTGGTGCCTGTTGACGTCACACGCTGTTGCCGAAAATAGGCAGCACTATTTCCGTAAGTGTAATGCCAGCTTCTGTATGTTTTTATTGATGCATTTTTAATAATTTTTTTTTAAAATACTACGCTACAGGGTGGCTATACAGCCCAGTCACCGGATCTTTTTCATTAGAAAGCCGACAGTCGGCTTGTGGAGTGTACACATACTCCTGGTGGCTGCAGCTGCCAGGAATGTGTGTAACACCCCTCTTTGCAACTGCCATTATAAATACAGTAGTGGCAATAAAAGGGTTAACCTCCCTAGCGGTCTGATTAGGTCAGTATTTCTGTGCTGAAAACAGTACATTTTTTTGCATGGAAATATGTTGTTTTTTTTATTGTAGGCCTGTAATTTTTAGGAATAACTCACTGAAATCTGTCCGAACAAGAGTCTAGTAAACATCCCGGGTATGATAAAATTTGAAACACAAAAATCATAAATTATAATTTAATAAATAATCATAAAAAAAAAATAATATAATAATAAAAATAATTCAATAATATAATCAAACCAAAAACACTGAAATGTGAAATAGAGCGCCAAGTTCGCACATCGCTGAGCTCAGTCGCAGAATCGTTTTCAGTGTCTGATGAGGAATTTCCCCCACGAATCATTATCACTCAATTCTGCAAGTGGTTCTGATTTACTATCGCTGTTCTCTAGCCGGTCTAAAACCGCTTTTGACCTAAAGGGACGCTTTTTGGACGCCATGGACGTTTCTCAGTTTCCAGGCAAAAAGAACAGTAAAAATGTAGGCAGGGCGCCGGACAAAGCACTCGGGACAAAATGTATGTGAAATGGTTTGATACAGGAATGTTATACTCTGTGATTTTAGTGTATTTAGTGAATGTCACTTTTTGACATTTTTAAATTACCCGCCAGTTCCATCCCCCGTACGTCCTGACGTCGCAGGGAACGGAACACCGAAAGACAGATGCCGGCATCGGCCGGAGGACATTGCCGGGGACACTGCAGGGGGGACATCGCGGGACAAGGTAAGTGCAGAAGAGATCCCGGAGCAATGCTGCAGTGTATTCCCGAGTGTAGCTCGGGGTTACCGCTTGTGGTGCTGAAACTTTACCCCGAGCTACACTCGGGAATACCGCCAGGGGGGTTAAATAGATATCTGGCAGTACTAGGGTCGTTGGATCAAATCCCAACCAAGGCACCACCTTCCTGGAGTTTGCATGTTCTCCCTGTGCCTGTGTGGGATTCCTCTAGGTACTCCAGTTACCTCCCACACTCCAAAGACATGCTGGTTGGTTAATTGGCTCCTGTCTAAATTGTCCCTAGTATGTGTATGTATGAATGTGAGTTAGGGACCTTAGATTGTACAGCCCTTGAGGGTTAGGGACTGATGTGAATGTACAATATATATGTAAAGCGCTGCATACATTGACGTTGCTATATAAGTACCTGAAATAAATAAATAATAAATACTTTGAAGATGCACTTAAGCTGTACGTGGTGTTATGGAACAGTAGGAGTTTCATGGACAGAAACAACATATTCTGGCATCACACAGTACAACATTTGTAATTAATTATTTAACACTAGATTGCAAAATATATACAAAAACTAGCATCTTCAGCAGGGGCGGACTGACAACTCATGGGGCCCCGGGCAATAGGGAATCATGGGGCCCCTGTGTCCTTGCCCAAACTCAAAAAAGCCTATGAAAAAGGTACCAGGGGCATCTCATGGGACCCCTATTGACCTCGGGCAGTGCCCAAGTTTCCAAATGGTCATTCTGCCCCTGATCTTCAGTGTGAGCTGGGTGTACACTGCACAAGTAGCCCTGCACTTTGTGAATGGTCCCATAGTCTTCTTCGACCTGTCACGTTGCCCGGAAGACTACGTGGAGGAAGGGGGGAGGACAACTTCCACTTCCGTTTGCAGTGAAAGTGGGAGCAGGTACTTGTCAATTCAGGTACCCCCTCCCCCCCGCTCCCCAAATGTGCCAATCCTTAACTAGGAGCGAGGGACATGGCCTTAAAGTGGAATTTCCTCTTTTTGGGTGGACCTCCACTTTAAGATATAAGCAGAGAGCTGATAGCTGTTTGCAATACAATGCAAACAAAGGGAGCCATATTACTTTTAAAAAAAGCATTAAATTAGCCAATGAATAGTATTACTTACTAGTATTTTACTTATGTAGATTTTATTGAGTTTTCAACAACAGAGATAACAATAGAACAACTTGAAAATCTCAAACATTCTGTAGAATTAATGCCACTAGTGTTAGAGTATCAAGAGGAAAGATCCCAAGCAAAAGTTTACATTTTGAATACTTAAATGTATTTTATAAAAGACTCACAAAATGTTGTTGTTTTTTTTTTTTTACAGATACTGCATTTCTTAAAAATTTTCCTTTTTTACAGGCGGAAGATCATTTTTGTATTCTTGGGTAGACTCTTTCTCGCAGGCATGTGTGAAGACAACCACACTGAAGTAACTGTTTTCTTGCTTCTTGGATTTCAAGGACTGTATAAATTTAAAATTCTTTTCTTCACTCTGTTCCTTTTACTATATGTGGTGATATTGAATGGAAACCTTCTCATTATTGTTTTAATATCAATAAAGGAACATCTAAAAATCCCAATGTTCTTCTTCCTCAAACACTTGGCAATAGCTGACCTACTGATATCCACCTCCGTAGTCCCAATGATGTTAGATATTATACTGAAGGATGATCTTACAATATCCATCAGTGCCTGTATCTTCCAGATGTATTGCTTCTGTTTTTTTTGGATTTGTGCAATCTTTTCTTTTAGCAATTATATCTTATGATCGATATCTAGCCATATGTAACCCAATGCATTATAATTCTATCATGAAGCCCCACATTTGCAGTAATATAATTGTTGGGTGTTGGTTGGGAGTTTTCTTTGCATCAAGTGAGATTATTTTACTGGGTCAGTTACAATTCTGTGGTGGGAATATTATTGACCACTTCTTCTGTGATTCTGGTCCATATATAGAGCTGTCTACCTCTGACATTTCCTTTTTAATATTTGTTGATTTTTCTGTGTCCAGTTTAGGTATTTTTGTTCCTTTCGCCTTTATTATTCTTACATATGTCTTGATTTTTTTCACCATATTAAGTATCTCTTCAGTCATTGGAAGACAGAAAGCATTTTCCACATGTAGCGCACACCTGGCCACTGTTTGCTCATATTACGGAATGCTGATGGCCGTGTACTTGGTACCATCTGATGAAAGCTCCCCGAATACGAACAAATTTAGATCTCTTTCACACATTGTGGTGACTCCAATGGTGAATCCTATTATCTATAGTCTGAAGAACCATGAGATCAGAAAAACTCTTCAAAAAGTTCTCAAAAATATTAAAACAATATAGATGCACCAAAACTACATCCTCACAGTTCTTGCTTACAAGATGCCAATACTTATCATGTTTCATATACATCTGTGTTCTTTTTTGGAACCTCTAAGTTGACCTCCTAATATTCATTATTCAGGCTTCCGAAGAAATTAAAAATAATTATGTATTTGAAATTGAATGAGAAATCACACTTTAGATCACACTGATCACTAATCAAAATCAAACCAACAAGCTACTGTTAACATTATCCCACCATGCCCCATCACCTACAGTCACCGGTCACTTTATTAGGTACACCTTGCTAGTGCCAAGAAAATATTCCCCACATCATTACACCACCAGCCTGAACCATTGATACAAGGCAGGATGGATCCACCACACCATGACACCTCCAGCCTGAACCATTGATACAAGGCAGGATGGATCCACCACATCATTACACCACCACCACCAGCCTGAACCATTGATACAAGGTAGGATGGATCCCCCACACCATGACACCACCACCACCAGCCTGAACCATTGATACAAGGCAGGATGGATCCACCACACCATGACACCACCAGCCTGAACCATTGATACAAGGCAGGATGGATCCATACTTTCATGTTGTTTATGCCAACATCTGACCCTACCATCTGAATGTCGCAGCAACCAATCTGTCAATTCTCCTTTGAGCTCTTACATCAACAAGGCATTTTCATCCACACAACTGCTCCTCAGTGGATATTTCCTCTTTTTTGGACCATTCTCTGTAAACCATAGTGATATTTGTGCGTGGAAATCCCAATAGATCAGCAGTTTTTGAAATACTCAGACCAGCCCGTCTGGCACCAATAACCATGCCACGTTCAAAGTCACTTAAATCCCCTTTCTCCCCATTCTTATGATCAGCTTTAACTTCAGCAAGTCGTCTTTGCCACATTTAGATGCCTATATGCATTGAGTTGCTGCATGTAGTTGGCTGATTATCAATTTGTGTTACCAAGCAATTGAACAGATGCACCTAATAAAGTTCATGGTGAGTGTATGTGTTAGGCATAATTTAATAAGCTCTGTGTTTTGCCCTTCCAGTCCTCACTGGAGATCTGGGCAGAAGAAGGGGCCATGAGAGTCTGAGCCAACTGCTGATAATGAACCTTGATGGATCTCAGCTTTATTGTTTGGATCCTCTCAAAGTTTGAACTAACTCTATGAAGTCAGCCTAGAGCGGATTTTAGACTGCTGTCAAGAGACTCTAGGTTACAGGTGAGCAAAAGTAAGTGCACTCCTGTGACCCACATGAGAAGTATGACCAAACAAGCTTTGGTTACACGTTTCATTTAATCGCATAGCAATGGTTGATATTGATGAGGACAAGGGTCCCTTACCCACAATACTACAATACTGACAAGTGGTGGGGGGGGGGGGGGGGTCTGTGGGCAGGTGATTTATTAGAAGCAATTTTAATAATAAGGGTTTCCCCAGATGCTGCCCCTATATGAATGAGTAGGAGGTATATAATATTCCTACTCATCACATGAAAGTGACCCCATGAAAGAAAGAAATCCAAACATATGACAAGTCCTGTATTAAAACATAAATCCCCCAAAAAAGTGCTTTTTTTAAATCATAATGATTGCCGCTTGCTGACTTGTCAAAAATAGATGACTGATCCTGACTGTGCTTATTGTCAAATGACAGCTCCCTGAGCAGAAGGGAAGGGGAATGAATAGTTGTGACACCATTGGCCAAATATGGCCAGTGATCATATTTGAGTAGTTATGTTACTGCTATCCCTGGCCCTTTGCTTACATGGCAGAGACTCCCTGTGACATCAGAATTTCCTAGGGACACAATTAATAGGAAGTTGTCATATAAGTGCTGCATCTATATGATGCTTGCTTCCCACCGAACAGGGGATCAAATGGGCTAATGTTTGGACTTTCATCTTAGCACCCAAGGAGCCAAAGTTCAGTCTGATCTGAAACGTCAGCTCATCCCTAACCATTGCGAATACTCCACACGATACATATAAAGATTGTTAGCTCCAGCTATAGGTCATGGTTTGGTATTTTCCTGAAATACCTCAGTGAGGAATATACTACATTATGGCCACTAGATGGAGCTGACGGCCATAGGAAATCAACATAAAAGAAACATAATGGGGTTATTCACGATGGCTGTGTGAATACTCAGAGATTCACACAGCAAATATTTTATAAGGATACCACTTAGTCTCTAGTACTGTATATTAAGGACAATTCCCTCTGGCCAATTTTCTTTAGCTCATAATGTTTAGCGTAGATTGATGAGAGCACAACAGGCAGTTGCTGACAGTCCATTCAAGAGTTTCCTATTTTGTTGCAGCATCTTACTGCATACTTTAAAAAAAAAAAAAAAAATGCTGTTCTCCCAAAACACTGCACATGCTCACCCTAGGTTATTATTATTATTATACAAGATTTATATAGCACCAATAGTTTGCTCAGCGCTTTACAATATAACAGGAGACAATACAGCAACAATACAGTTCAATACAAGAGGGATAGGAGGGCCTGATCCTTGGAGCTTACAATCTAGGAGGGAGGGGATAGTGGTACAAAAGGTAGTAACTGTGGGGGATAGACAGGTAGGAGGAGTAGAAGATTCCATTATTAGCTGAGGGCAGGATAGACTTCCCTGAAGAGATAGGTTTTCAGAGATCGCCTAAAAGTGAGCAGAGTAGGCAATTGTCTGATGGATTGGGGTAGAGAGTTCCAGAGAATGGGGGAAGCTCTGGAGAAGTCCTGGAGATGAGCATGGGAGGAGGAGACAAGGGAGCTAGAGAGTAGGAGGTCTTGCGAGGAGTGAAGAATACAGTTTGGGTGATATTTAGAGACAAGATTGGTGATGTAATTTGGGGCAGAGTTATAAATGGCTTTATATGTTATTGTTAGTGTTTTGAATTTTATCCGTTGGGCAATGGGAAGCCAGTGGAGGGATTGGCAGAGGGGGTGGAGGACACTGAATGGAGGCCAGTGGAGGGATTGGCAGAGAGGGGTGGAGGACACTGAATGGAGGTCAGTGAAGGGATTGGCAGAGAGGGGTGGAGGACACTGAATGGAGGCCAGTGGAGGGATTGGCAGAGAGGGGTGCAGGACACTGAGTGAAGGCCAGTGGAGGGATTGGCGGAGAGGGGTGGCAGATACAAAACAGTTAGTAAGGTGGATGAGTCTGGCAGCAGCATTCATGAAAGACTGAAGAGGGGATAGCCTGTGATGAGGTCGGCCAATGAGGAGACAGTTACAATAGTGAAGGCGAGATATAACAAGGGAGTGAATAAGTTGCTTAGTGATTTCTGAGGTTAGGAACGGGCGTATCTTGGAGATGTTGCGGAGGTGAAGTCTACAAGATTTGGAGAGCAATTGGATTTGGGGCTGAAAGGACAGATGGAAGTCTAGGATTACACCTAGCACCCTGGCATGAGGGGAGGGACTGATGATTGTGTTATTGATCTTAATGGAGATGTCAGGGGAGTGGGCACAGGCTGGGTGGAATACTAGGAACTCAGTTTTTGAAAGATTTAGTTTGAGGAAGTGGAGTGACATCCATGCCGATATGTCGCTTAGTAGGTTATTAATGCGAGAGGAGACTGAAGGGGTGAGGTGAGGAGTAGAAAGATAGATTTGTGTGTCATCAGCATAAAGATGGTACTTAAAGCCACAGGAGTTTATCAAGTGACTAAGGGAGGAGGTGTAGATGGAGAAAAGTAGGGGTCCAAGGACAGAACCTTGAGGGACCCCTACAGAAAGAGGGAGTGGAGAGGAAGAGTCAGAGTTTTAGGTAACGCTGAAGGAGTGCTGCGATAGGTAGTAGGAGAACCAGGAGAAAGCAGAGTCTCAGAGGCCAAGAGAGTGGAGTTTTTTGAGGAGGGGGGGATGGTTAACAGTATTAAAAGACATGGAGATGTCAAGTAGTAACAGTATGGAGTAGTGGCCATTGGTTTTAGCAGTTAGTAGATCATTAGTGAGTTTTAGTAGGGCAGTTTCAGTGGAGTGGAGTGAGCGAAAGCCAGACTGTAAAGGGTCAAGAAGGTTGTTGTCAGTGAGGTGGGAGCTCAGGCAATTGTAGAATAAGTGTTCTAAGAGTTTCAAGGTAAACGAGAGCAGGGAGATGGGTCTTAAGTTGTTCAGGTTGGTGGGGTCCAGGGAGGGCTTTTTAACTATGGGAGTGATGTGTGCATGCTTTAGAGGGGAGGGGAAGGCACCATTAGAGAGGGACAGATTAAAGATGTGAGTGAGGGAGAATAGGATGGAAGAAGAGGGAGACCAAAGTAGTTGTGAGGGGACAGGATCCAGGGGGCAGGTAGTGAGAAAGGCTTC